GCTGAAATTGCAGTTCATAAATGAATTTTTTCTTATACTCATGACTGGTTGTTTTCGTTTTGAATCCTGTAACTGATGCGGTATTTTCAAGTTTTTAGTTTTTCGGTCAAGTGTTTCTCAAATTGCATAGAACTTGGAAATATTACAAAAATAAATCTTATAAAAAGAAAAATCAAAAAAATCAAAAATAAATCAAATTCTCAAAATCTCAAAAAAATAAATCAAAAAATAAATCTCTGTAGCATAGAGTACATAGTGGAAATTCGATTCTTTTTTTTTATTACAGACCAGGATCTGTGTCAGTTGTAGAAAGCGAAAAATATTCAGCAACATCACAAAATATCAGAACAAATCGACACGATGCTAATATAATACGTTGGCAGCGTCTTAACGATACTTCCGGTAGTCACATCATTTGCGTGGTAACTATTTGCAAATCTTAGTAACCATGCTGAATTTCCCCAAAATTTTTCCCATCTGCAAAGTTCGAAAGAATTTCCCTTTTCGTTAGTCCATTTTTTCCAGTCTACTCAATTCTTCGATATTTATGTTGTGAACTCTGATTGCATGAGTCTGCTGGATTCCACTTGTGCTCATCCTTTCAATTTGACAGACGTTGATTGGTGCTCTTATGATTCTAATGCATTGGTATGTATTTTTTTTGGGAAAAATCTGCTTCCTTTCTGTTGTTTGGGATCATTATAGAGCAAAATCTGTTTGTTTAGGAACTCCTGTTTTGGCTTATATAGAGCTTTTATGTGAAGCTTATTATTAGCCTGATGTATATTCAGCTATCATGTTCAGTCGACGATGCAGTAAAATGTTGGGATTTGCGGGATCTGCGATGTCCTTGTCTGCAAATGCAAGCTATTGGTGGAGCAGAGCAAGCGAAGTGGGCTCCATTATCGGTCAATGCGTTGTGTACTTCTCATGGTACTGATCTACGACTATGGGACAAGCGGGTATGCTAAACGATTAGACATGTTAACAGTGAATGTAAGCTCGTTCTGCATACATTCTTTGTTGAGTCACAACACAGCATAGATTTTCGATTTTTATATTAGCTTTTGTAGTATTGTCCAAACTTGTTCATTGTTAGAGTCAAAGTTATGGGATGATCTTTTCAATTTTATTGAATAGATTTGATTTCACCACTTCGTCAAAATAGCGTGCTGTTGAAAATCATTAAAACAGTAACCAACTCGCTTGAAAAAACCTGATTTGTAGCATACTTGCTAGATTAAAGAATGAAGATATCACTTTAATGGTTTTCCTTATTCATCCTTAGTCGAAACGGAATAAAATATTAGAGAGGGGAACAGAGAATAAGTTTATCGAAATAAAATTTTAATTTGTGTTTTATAGAATGTCAGCTTACCCTTGCAAACTGTCTCAGCCCATATGCAGAAAATTTCTTGTGTTATGTGGCATCCCACAACTGCGACATGTTTCTTAACTGCTGGCCTGGACGGCTATATCAAAGTGATTTTTCATCACTTTTTGTAATCTTGGATTATAGCTTTGTTCAAATGGAAATCTGTTCAGTCATCCAGTCGTCTTAATCTTTGTTATTTTAATTTTTTTCCTCTAATTTCTATTCAGGCCCAATGAACCGTACAGAATCATTGACGGAAAATAGAATGATTTATTCCTTCTAGCATTAAGACTAGGAAATAGATATTTGATTAGAATTATAGATAGAAGGGATTTCTAATCTTATGTCTTGTAATTGAGATGTGGAATAGCAACGACCTGACGAAGCCACGACATTCATTGGGGATGCTACCGGCTCCAATATGGAAAATCAAATTTTCGGTAAGCAAAATCAAATCTATTGAGTGATATTTAGAAAACCAAATTAAATTGAGAGAAATGTTTTAACCTTTACATTATGAGATGTATACAAGATATGAATGATTTCGCTTCTTAATTTTTCTCTATTCATTGTTTTCTGATCTTTTTTTTTCTTGTCACAAGTGTGTTTTAATTAATTTGAGTATATTGCATATCCAGAGTGATGGAAATGAATTTGCATCAATACCACTGCCAATGTATGGGCAATCAGAAGAAAGTTGTGCGTTAAGCTTATGGAAAACCAGTACTCTTGAGATTATTCAAGTAATTGGGGTTAGTGTTGGAACTTTTCTAAAATAGTTGATTCACTCAGTCATTTTTCCTACCTTTATTACTGATTCCATTTCCGGCCAATTAATGTAGAAATAAGTGCTTACCAAGTTTTCACAATTTTCAGTGTGAAGATGATGTCCTGCTTGACTTATGCTGGCAAAAGTTTCGCATGCAGAGGCAAACTTACAGTTGCTTATATTCAGCATCAAGATATGGCAAATTGCGAAAATACAATCTGCCACTATTTAAAGATTTAGTAATTGTTGAAATTTCCGATTTTCGGCGATATTATTTTCTATTTTAATGAAAAATAATGGTCTTCTCAATGATATCAGCATTAAAAAAGCTAATTCCCCAAGTCCTGAAATCATTTGCTACGAAAAAATAACATGCGAAATGAGTAGCTGAACCGTGTACTACATCACAGTTTTGTTATAGTCTGAAGAGGTAATAGAAAAGAATTGCTGTTCAAGAATTGGCGGAAGTACTGAGAATGCGTTCGTTCTTGATGAAGAAATAAGGGAACCAAGAACAAAAGCGCCGGTTTCATTAGCAAATACCAGTATGTTAAGTGCTACTTTCGGTGAAGGTATATTTGTCGCTCTCTCTCTACTAATTAATCATTTAAACACGAAGGGTTAAATTTCGTTGATATGCCGGAAAATAATTATCGTGTTTTTCGGTTTTTGAACGGTTACAATCATAAACTTTTCTGCACTGAAAAACAAATATTTTGGAAGATACTAACTGTAGCTGATCGAAAATTTTGGAGAATTTGTGAAATTTACGAAACTTATTTCACAAAACTTATTTTACAGGTGGCGCCAACAAGCTGAATAAACGGCCGTTAATAATCCACAAGATAGAAATTATCGAAAACGAATTATGTTTAACCGCACCCAGACCAGTAGATGTTCTGGTAGCTGAGTTGGTTCCGTTGAAACGCATGTGCACTGAAGATTTAACTGTTGAACAAGTAATTTGCAAGTTTTTTTGAAATTGGTTTGGAACTTTTTGTGATTTAATATTTGGTTTCTGCTGTTAACAAAAATCGTCTATTCGTTTCTTTTTCTTCTCAGTTTAGTTGGACGATAAGCACAGTTTAATAACGTGGAGCGAAAATGCAGCTATAAAATTTCGAATTAAAGCAGCTTTGTCGTTGGAGGAGAAAATGGAAGGGTTCACACTTATAATTATCCAGATTATTAATGATGAAAATCATTTATCACTTAACGATGTCGAAACCATTCTCAAGGTGAATCCAGCTTTTTTTGTTACAAAAATATGAAGAGTTTGATGAGTTGATTGCTGGATATTTGATCGGTTTTATGGATATGATACGTTTCAAGACATTCGTAGCTGGCACCAAATGTTCTAAATATTGATCTAATCTATATCAAGTGTGAGAGTGTAAATGGAAAAAAGTGAGGCTAGTTTAGGCTATTCGACTTGGTATTTTCCTAACTAACGTTTTAGAAAATCTGTTTCGTAAACGGCACAATTGTCTTTTCCAGAAATTATCGGATGAAACTATAAATATGGATGTATCCTTGGAGAAGGGACCAATTTTACCCGTTATCCTGCATAATTTGTTTAAAATAGTAACTTCGATGGAGGTATGCTTTCTTTCTCTGACATCGTAATGCGATAGATCGGATTTTCTTCATGATGTTTCTACCTGGCTTTCTTGTTGAATTCAATGTGGACGAAGGGTAAAGAGGAGTAAAAAATATGAAAGATACATAAAGCTTTAAAATTACACCTCTTCGTTTGATTGGTTATCTAACCTTACATTTTTAAGATTTGCGCTTCTCGATCACTTGATATACCACAGCGTCCAGAAAATGTTGTCCAATTTTGTGAGAGTGCTTCGAGTGAAAGTGGTCCACATAGTGTCACGCTGGAAACCATTTCCTCTCCTCCACCAAAAAGGTGGATTTTGTCAAATAATTATGAACTTATTTTGCTGTTCCGTCAATCTTTCAATTTATTGGTCTTTTAAACTTATCAGTCGAACTTATTAACCTTGTCAATCTTTGTACGATTCTGCGCCATTTCTATTGAAATATTAATATATGGCAAGATTTTCGTTTTGCTTAGAGGCTGTGCTAAGTTTTCCGAAATTGGTAATATATACAATTCTTTTTTCAGCACGCTATCATCACCATTACTTTCAACTTCATATGATCATTGGATACCATCTCCTCGTACGTGTGGAGCACGTTTTAATGGCTCAGGTCTGATCTCCATTTTTCGAAGCATATAAATTTTCCAGTCCCATATTCTTATGGAGGTTTTATTTTTAGAAATCAACTTTGATAAAAATCAACCTTTTGCTAGTGGTAGCAGTGGCCTATTACTAAGATAATTTTGAAGGATTTCTGGTTATCTTTGGACGAAACGAACTTGCGATGAGGCGTATGCAATCGAGTAAGAGTTCCTTTCAGGATGAGTCACTTTGGCTCTCTGCAGAACGGATCACACAGGCCTTAAAATGCACTTCTTCAAAGGTTTTTCTATTTCGGAATTGCCTTTTCAGAGCTTCTCATTCCATGCCTTATTTAAAATCGCTTTAGAAAGGTGCGCTCAGTTTTCTGGATGATGGGCATGAAACTGATGAGAGACATGTTAGTAGTACACCACGTTCACTGGACGAATACAAACATGAACTGCTTCTATGTGAGTTCACTGACTTCATGTATTTCTATTAAACTGCTATAGAATTCGTCTAAACAGTATCAAATATATGAAAGAAAAAGGACTTAAATAGTCTACGGACAGTTGTAGAATCTAAATCTAAGTATTTAGATTTGTGAATCCTGTTAGTTTTTCGAATTCGAACTTTTCTTTTTCGAACTTTCTTAGATCTTGAACAATACATTACATCAGTTTTGAAAGCAAATTGCAGCTATGGAAGATATGCATACTCGTTTGCAAAATTTTTGTGGTAACGAGAAATTTAGTTCATCATTATGCCAATCGATCTGTGGTACTCCGCTTTTTCCCCTCAATATGGCTTTCTTTCATCAAAAATTTGATGTCGCAAACAGTGGAACATCTTCCCTATTAGGAATGCGTGCAAGTAATGTATGTCAAAGTATTTTAAAAAACAAATAACAAGGCATTTCAATAAGATGTGATGAATTACAATTCAAGAAATCACTCGGATAAATTTATAGCTTGCAGTCATTGGCAATGTTAAGCAATATATGTAGTAACAGTACACAAAACGTTCGATCACATCGTCGTCGAGGAAATTCAGGAACAAATGTTCTTGCTGACGGTAATCTGTATGTATCTTATCTCTATTTTGATATTTTTTACAAAAATAAATTATTTTTGAGGGAACTATTCATATATTAGATTTCTATGTTCGTCATCTATCCTCATCTTGATTATTCGGATACTGATTAAAATTTAATTTTTTTATGTTTGCTTTTTTAATTCGGTATTTTTCATGCTGTAGACCACCATCATCTAGACGGCTGTGCTCCAATATCTGTGGTTGTTATTTATGATGTATCAATGCTCATGTCAGTTAGCAAAGATCTTGCTCGTAAATACCGGTTAGTTCTTTTGTTTTACAACGTTTTTTATGTAAGTTAAATAATAATTCTGAAAATTTCTTCAGTTTAGTTCGCTCTCATTCTGGGACTTCGAAAAATCTTAGATGAGATCACTTTATGTTGACATAGAAACGTTTTAACTGTTTTAACGTTTCAACTTTATGAATATAGTAGCAGATTATCAAAACCTTTTTTTATTAGGCTTATTGGCACTGATGCACTGGAGTTGTGTTTATGGAATCGGAAAGTAGTAGAGGAAGCAGGACGCAAAGATTTGGGAAACATATGGCAAATCGTTGAGCTCTGCGTACGGATGGCGAAATTAAGGTTAAATTTTCCTTATTTTTCAAATTTTTTTAAATTTTTCATTATTTATTTAGAATGTCAGATCTTAATAAAATTTTACAATTTTCTTTTTGTTTCGGTTTTTTTAATATCTTAAAAAAGCTTGAATCTAATGAGGATGTTTCCAGGAATAAGATTGTTTTTTTTCCATTGGAATTTCATGTAGAATTTCTCAAAGTCTTAGCGACATTATTTTATTTCGAATTGTTTTAGGAATTCCTATCTGTTTCTTTTCATCCATTTTTTGATTTTTAAGTTTTCCATTTTATGTATCATTTTTATTTATCTTACCCTTCTACTTAACATTCAAACGAGTTCTTTTTTCACTTTGATAATAAAATTTGTCCTTTTTAATAGTTTGGAATTTATTCAACTTATAGGTTGAATTTATCACAGTTTGTGTTTTCCTCCTTTCAGTTTAAAGAATACTCAAAAATAAAGTGAATATCAGACTTGTCGAGTCTTATATTGCAATGTATTTTTTTTTTGATCGATGCCAACATATTGAATTCGACCAACTTAGACCTAAAGTAAACATATGGTGCAATTAGGTCATTGTGAATGGTAGAACAACAGAGCTAAATCCATCCCTGGTAAGGTATTGTTACTAAAAATAATATAAATGTTAGTTATTGTTTTAGGTACATGTTAATTATTGTTTCAGATACTATTTTAGAGTAATAAAATAATTTCAGTTGGCGTCAACATTATCTTCTTGATCAAAATAAAACAATAACTAACATGCCAGATCCCGATTCATCGGAAGAAAGTATGTCAAAAGAAGACATTATGGCTATGGCAGTGCATCCGTTCGGACGTTCACTAATTAATAATTTGTAAATTTTTCGGTATATCTTTTAAATTTTCTTCAAAACTGAGATTTGGGAAATTTATTGTTCAGAAATCTTTTTTGATTTTTCGTGATTTAGATATGTTTCCGAATACATTTCTGAAAACTTTTCGTCCTTGATATTTTAGATTAGATTACTTTGCGCGTATCAATGATTATCAGACTGCTGCAGTGATAATTTGCGTCTTAAGTTTGGGATACAAACGGTATTTTGAAATAGTTGACAGTAACGTGGAATTATCAACTACTCCGAAGTATGCAGTCCACCATGAACTTAGTACTTGTGGCATCAATCTTGTAAGTTCAAAGCATACTTTTCTGTTAGAATTGCTAGTAGTAGTCAATTGAAAAGTATGAAGTAGCATACTGATGCACTTATTTAAAGATTTATGATTTTTAAGAATTATGCTTCCACAAAATACCCAAGGATTTAGTATGGTTCTGAAGATCGTAGCATTGTTTTCCCAATATTTTAACGAGGTTTCTTGAAAGCGTGCTGAAAGTTGACATTACAGTAACAACATTAAGGTCTTGCTTGGCTCCTTATATAGGTTGATCCATAGGGAATTTTTTATGTTCTGAAAACCATGACAATTTTCTAAAGTTATTGTTTAATTTTATCTATGTTTTTGGATTATTTTTTATTCTGCGAAAAATCGTTTTCACAATAAAATATTCATTATGGGACCAAAACAAAGAAAAAGTGGTAAAATTGACAGTTATATTATTACTAAGTTGAAGTTTTGAGTTATTAGAGACCGAGTGCTTAGGTATTCTTTTGTTCGATCAGTTTTTAATTTTTGTTTTTATTGGTTATTTTTTTATTTTTGATTGATATAGAGATGTTTTCGCATTTTTCGGGATAGCATGCTAGTTTCGACGGATTCTAAACCTTCCAAAAACTTTTCAGATCAAGAACGTTACTTTTTACCAGTAAGCTTTTTTAAGCTGATTGAACATTCTCACGCCACTAAGAATTCAACGCTTTAATTTTCATGTTTTAAAGTAATTTTGCAGTTACAGGATAGTTCGGTGTACCGCACAGTCAATGCGAATGCTAAATTAGGCTTGAACTTCTGGTTGTTACAACAAGAAAAAGAAAAGTAATTTGCTATAATCCTTTCCTGTCATTCAGTATATTTTCGAGGTTTTCGGCAGTTTTTAGTAGCAGTTCTAATTCTCTTGTTCCTTTTGCATATATATTCTCATTTAGTTTTCGGCAGTTTTTAGTAGCAGTTCTAATTCTCTTGTTCCTTTTGCATATATATTCTCATTTCAGACTAGATATGAAGGAACAGTTGTCATTAACAGCTTCCGGTTCAAAGACCGCTGGGAAATTTTCTTCATTTCAGAGTGCCTTAATTGGTCATCCTTCAGTGCAGACCCTAAAAATAGGTTTGTTAAACTGTCTTGTTTCAACCTAATTTATTAACACGTGATCATCATGTTAAGTATTCCATGATGAAAGTAACAAACATTAAAGTAAAAAATAATGCATGTTCCGTTCATCGCTTCAGATTTTCTTGTTTAAGAGAAACTTTCAGTTTGAAATTTTAAATCTCAAACAAGAATTTGAGCCTTTCTTGCTCAGACTATCCAAACTTGGTTTTCTAAATGACATTTTTCTAAAGAAGATGTTTTGATTGTAGAGATTGGTTGATTTTATTTTAGTTCTCTTTTGCAGAAAAAGAATGTAGGATATCTTGTAGCCATCGTATCCCTGACGAGTTAATAATCTCTAGTTTCGCAGAGCAGCCTCAACAAGATCCTGGTTGGAGTATCACCAAAAACAAATCCAGTTTGTGCAGGTTTGTTAATGTATTTTTTATGTTTAGTAAAACTATTTAATGGGAAGAGCGATTATCATAATTGTTTCAGAGCGTTCTTTTTAGCAAACCTTTGAAACATATGCACTACATTAGTGCTATTTTATACTAATATTAGCATTTTATTTCGAATTTCGTAGTATTTAATTCGAATTATGTTGCAAATATTCCTTATAAAAGCATGGAATCTTTATTATTCAGTTCATATTTAATTTTTTTTCGTTTTTGTTTTTTACTGCTAGAAATTTGGAAATGAGAACTAACTGATGTCATTTACAGCCTCTTAGATCCTCCTTCTAAGAGTCGATACGATAAAGTGCGCCATCGGTATGCTAGTTTACTGTTCAGGTGGAGGATGTTTTCAAAAGCTGCCGAAGTGATGAAGTATAGTGAGACTGCACCTTATTCAGCACCACTACAAGGTAAATTTTCTGTTCTTGAAAACGATGATATTCAGCTCTCTTTCTTCCTTTCAGGAACGCACTTACCTCTGTACTATACACTTGCAAAACAAAAGAGATATGGCTAAAAAAATTCATATCACAATTTTTTTATGCTATAGAATATTGCTATAGAATTCGATATAGTTTAATATTCCTTGATGCTATCTTCTTTTTTGTAATGAAAATGAAAGTTCATATTTTAGTTCAGAGCTCGTGTCCTCACTGTCACAGTAAATTGCTGCTTTTCAAATGTGATAAATGTCACATCCATTGGAAATTCCGCTGCTCCTTATGTCAACTTCCTGTGCTAGGTGATTTTCTATGATATGATTTCAGTGATTAAAGGTGGGAGAAGATATTCGTAGCTTTTATAGTATGATTCATGTCTTTTATAGTATAATTTATGACTTCTACTTGTCTTGTCTAGTTTACGAATATACATACCTTCCTTGAAAGAAAAAAATGTAAAGCACTGGAAGAGCTTGCTTTTCTTTGGATGCGACTTTCAGTTCATTTTCTTATTGCGTCTCAGTATTTAATATTAAATCTTCTATTTCCTTGTTCAAATCACCTCAAGCTTTGTAGGTATGCTGACGGTATGTGCCCTTTGTGGACACGGTGGACACAGCGAACATATGGTGATTTGGTTCAAGGAAAATAACCACTGTGCATACGGTTGCGGATGCGACTGTAAATCGGCTTGTTTTTAGAAGCAGTTTAATTTATAATTGATACTTTATCGTACTCGTATTTTGTCATTTGCACACTGTTAAATGTGTCTGGAATGATAGCCAAAACAACTACTTCCATTTTAATGTACAAATTTAAATTTTATTCGAGCTGTTGATTAGTTCCTTCAAAATAAAAATAAATGGTATTTTCTTCATTGTCAGTATATCGGTTCAAAATTAGTGGTGAAGTTTACAAGTAGGAATGGTGGGAACTCCACAACCTCTATTGTTTATTGTGAGTAAAGAGACAAATATCATGTATTTAATTCAGACGATTATATAATATGCTGAATTGAATGAACTCAAATTATATTATATCAAATTAATTAAAAAATAATCAAAAATTGAATTAGAACTGATAAAAAATCAAATTACTTGGAAGTCGTAGAAATTGAGCCAGTCTTCGATTTAAATGCTGACAGTCTCGCTAGTTTTACAAAAAAAACTATTAGATACTTAAAAAATCATCATTTAATCGTCTTCGTGAAGCCAAACATGATTGTCGGCGTGGTTTTGTCGCGAATAACATCACCAAGAATAATGCAACTTCTACCATGCTCGGCAATGTTTGGCAAGCTGTTCGTCAATGATGTATTTGCTGCGATCGACGATGAAATTCGACTCTAATACTAATTCACCCAAATTTTACGCATTGTTCTCTTTCGGGGTAGGTTCTGTGCTGAGTTACATCTGGATAGGTGGAAAGATGGGCCCAGAAACAACTTAGCCTTTCAGTTTTCTATGATTTTGAATTTTTTCAATAGCGAAAACGCAACGTGCAGCTCGTAAGGAACACACTAATGTTTGTCGAGGCGATACGTGCAACAACTGGACGGAAAATAAGGTTGAATACAAAAGGAAAGAATGGTGTTCCAGTCATGTCAGGATGTTATTCATGCCAAGTCCTGGCCGGGGAAGTTTCGAACCTGATATACGTTGGAGAAAAGCTGATATGCCCGTTGGCATGCTTGTTAATGAAGTGAGTTTTTTCTTTCTAAGATAAGAAATTAGTTTTGTTTTTAGCAGATTGAAATCACTGCGTCGGAAATGGCTCTGCCATTTTATGATCCTTCAAGAACAGTTTGAATAATGCAGAGAGAGAAGCAAGTAAAAGGTCTAAAAGAATGAAATTAAGAATCTAAGAGACACTGTTTACTTTACAAATTAGTAGATTATATCAAACACAAGTGTACGTTGGGCATATTTGCATATGTTTATGGAATGGCAAAACAAAGCTTTTCGGAAAAAAGCATATACAGATTTCGATGCAACTTTCTTTACTCACAACAGCAGGATGAATTTCGTTGATGTTCAGGATAGTTACGGTAGCATAGTTATCAGCATGGTGCAGGATGGCAGTGTTGCCAGTAGGACGCTGAGACCGGGTGATATACTGATCAAAATAAACAACCAGCCAATATCAGATAAATATACCGCTAAGCAGGTTTTTTTTTTACCAATGTTATCATCTGTAACTGTTGGCACTATCAGTAATACATGAATATATGAAGATCGAGATAGTATCAAAAATGCGCAATGAATACTCGTGTCCATTCATTTCCAAGTTTTATCTTCTCATGTGTCAGCACTACAATGGGACTAAGTTATTTGTCCTGGAAGATAAATATCTAATTGTTATCGCTGAAATGCACATAAATTTGTTATACTTATTCATATGAAATATCAGGAGATAGTGATAAGGTTTCAGATGACAAATTTACAATGGAACGTCAATTAGGAATAAATTCATTGAAAATAAGTTAGCTGAAATGTTCAATTTGTTTTGTGAAACAGTGATTTTCAGTCAGCGAAGGCAGAAGTACTCGAGAACATTCAGTAGAGCAGATTAATCTCGGTGATAACGATGAGCAGTATCATGATTATAACACTATTCTTAGAAGACTTTTGCGCCCATTCATATGTATATGACATCTTTCTATCAATTGTTGTTAAATACCAACTTTGCACATTTTTATGGAGAAGAGATACGAATAGTTCTTGTTGATATTAAGTTTTTCCACTGTCTGATGGTAAGGTACAACCTGGTTGAAGAAAAAGGTGCAGAAAGGATAACAAGTCCAGGAAAAAAAGTGGTAAAACGATGATAAAACATTTTAAACAATCAGTACTGTAGACTTGAGTCAAATTTTTAGATCCTACGTTATAAGAGTGAGTTGCGTCTAGTTTCAGTGAGGTATACTCCAGCAATCAAATTCCTGACAACATCGGGCTTATCCTTGCTGCGTGCAACACTGGTGGCTCAGTAACCGCCATTTTATCGAGCAAGATTGCAACAGCGGTTCCACCATCAGTAACACCTCATACGCTTTCGAAGATTAAGGAAGACAGGGAAGAACCAATTTCTGTAGGAACGATGAGTGCAAAACCAGAAAGAAGGTCTCCAAATACCATCACAACTACTGCATTTCTGAAATAAATACACAAGCTCCGTCCGAATTTACCGAATTACGATCACTGCTTGTCAAAGGATGTGTTGGCAGTTTTGGATGCAAATAGAGACATTTACAAAAATGACTCTTCCTGTCAATCAATTCTTATGAATCCCAAACAACAAGGAACTGGTAATTTTTACATTTCCAAAATGTTGTATGGCGCATCAAAGACATTAAACATCAAAATGTCGCATGACTCTTTGGAGACATTAGACATTTAACATTTAGAGAGTTATTTAATATTATCAGAATCTCTCTGCGAAGTTCTTCAAATGACATCATTATGATCAGGGTTGCACATTAATTTAAAAGGACCTAAAAAGACAGATGAAGATTGCTTTCGATTATGGTGAGGGTTTGCTCAAGCAAATACCGAAAAGTTCTTAAAATATCAGTCAGTGCGCTAATATGGCCTGATGTAACTTGGAAATTTTATCAAATACCATCCATAAAAATCCTAATAGACACGGGAAAATGTACATCTTCAACTATAATGGTAGATTTATTGCCTATGCTGGAAAGGCAAGAAAATCAACTTAAAAGATTTACCAGTTTTTCATTGGAATTTATTTGAATTCAAAGGTTAATATTGCATGAAATACCGAATAGAGTTGGCAGATGCTTACATCCAATAAATGGTATCATGAAAATTCAGCAAATTCCTTTACCTCTCCAAAAATTGAAAATGTAAAATAATTGAATTAGAATTAGCAATATGCACCTTTTCATTATGATTTTATTGGGATTTAACAGATAGTTTACATTATGCATGCAAATCCTAAGCTATAACTTCCACTTGTTCTCCCGTCATCCTTACTCTTGTCTCCATTCCATTTTCCATTTCCCCATTTTAGCTATTGACTGCATCCCGGAATCAATATCATTTTAGGAGGTCCAATCTATGGTAAAGAATTGTGCGATCACAATGTCGATCACATGAAAGAGACCAGAAATGTCAACACTGTGCAAACTGCAGTGACATCATAGCTTCTCCCTTTCCATTTGTATACTTGTTCTAGTATCAGTATCTTTTACTTTTTTATAGCTTAATAGGCTGTACTGCTCACAAGGAATTCAGCCTGAAATTATTCAAGAAGTTACATAATTGTATAACGAGAGAAGATGTGGGAGATTTCATTGAATTCAGATGTTATGAATCGAAATATTTTGCACATTAAATTCAGTTTTAAATTGTTTTTCCAATAGATTTTCTGAAAAGTAGCGAAACAAACAGACTGAAGGACAAGCAAATCAAAGGGTGCAATAAGTGATATAACTATGCTTACAAGACTGATGCAATCAAAAAGTGACAGTCATTTTTTCCTCAACTAACAGACTGAAATATTTTACATTAAATTCCCGTTAACACAGACATCAGTAAAACTCGTTGTTTTGTCCTTTTCATTCTATTGCAAATAAATGTGTGCAAATATTTGTGGAGCTTATTAACAGTTCTGAACGACGCGACTTATTTGCGCAATTTGAGAATTGCTTGAGTCTGTCCGCAAAGTTGGTATTTCTCATTACCCTTCCTTCCTCATTTTTTGACTTGGTTGATTCCAAATTTTTGTCGACATTCCATCAAATTTTAATTTTTCAAAACCTAACAATAATTTTGACCCATGCAAATATTTGATGATTGAATAGCTGTCAAAGCATGTGCAAAGTCAGACGGCATCAATAAACTTAGACTTGCAGTTATCGCCCATCTGATCAGAAACCTGATTTCAACTATTTTGAAGCTTCTGCGTGTTTTTAAATCAAGTTGCAGTTGAATCAAATTCATACTAATCATCACTGCTCGAGAGAAATCTAGATGGAGGGAAAATCAAGCTGGAAGAATAAATTCAATGGTGACACTCAAGTGGTTCGGCATGCTTCATTTATTGAGATCGTTAGCTTTTGCAACTTTGTTAATCAAGGGTATCTGTGTGTACAAATAGTGCCATTTTGCGGTTGGAAGTTGGTTTACACTTTTATGATGAAAGGTTCCTTAAAACCAGAAATTTTGAAATAAATTATATCATTTGACGCTGGAAATCTCTTTGCCTTTCATTTGGAATCTGCTTATTCAGAATAATCAACGACTTCTAAATGAAATATCTTTTCTTTCAAATCTATTTTTGACCGGGAAAAGATTAAAGTTCAGAATGTCATTTCATCAGTTTTCGTTTTGTTAATTTGCAAATTTTTTTGAACTTTATGCAGTCAAATCAATGATGATTTAGTTTGACTATTATGTATTAAATATTCATCTCATCCCCTGTTGATCGTACATTGGATGGAACATTGACAAAAGCACTGATGACTAATATCAGTGTCAAAATATTGTTCGTGGTAAAGGATTTGTTCACAGTAAAGGAGTCATTAAGTTTTTCAATATTTAAAATTTCACAGTTGCGATACGCTCAACGATCAGATTATATTTTGCTTACTTTTGGTATCACATTATCAGTGGTGAATGGAGCAATATATCCAGTTAGCTCTGTCTTCTTTGGGGTAAATTATAAAGTTTTCCAAAACACGTTTAAACTAAGAATTTATTGGTGAGATTCTCTGTGCGGGTGGTTTCTGTGAGAGATACAACTTTGTTAAAATGTTAAACAAGGATATCAATCAGGAAACTACTTGCTATTATTCATTGATTCAAAATAAATTGAGTGAATTCAGAGCAAAAGAGGAACTTGTTATAAATACAGTACGACTTAGAGTCACTGTTAATGACTTTATTCAGTTTTATTCCAAGTCATGTTCAGAGAATCCCGGGACGAATAATTAATTCAATAAATAAATTTTAAATTAATATTCAAAAACTGCAGGGAATAATTGATGCGTTAATAACTGGTCAAGCAAGTCTTAAAAATGGTACTTTCAATGTAGAAATATATACAAATTCGATGATTATTTATGTGTATTCCTATGCATTACTTGCTGCTCTTCTATTTATCATTACATTATCTTCGGTTAGTTACTGTCTCTTTCAAATCTTTCCAGCATTTACTATCTAAATTAACAAATATTTGGAAAAAATTACGATTAAATCACCACGATTATCTATTATTGACATGCAATGCAATCAATCTTTAACCTATTATTTGATCGAGAGTTTTGATTTCAACCAGTTAAGTATGAATGAAACTTCTTTTGCAACCCCAATACTATCCCGTGTTACCAAGTGAAAGTCCACTTCGGGTTTTATAAAAAGTATCGAATTAATTTTTGTATTCTTCGAGATCTAATCATCTGTTATTTGCCTTCTGCAGATGAGCTGCTTCTTTACACTGAGTGAACGTCAAGTTCATGAAATCCGTAAACGATATTTCGCTGCACTCCTAAGACAACAAATGGCTTGGTATGATAAAAACGAAACTGGCGCACTTCTCAATAAATTGTCCGCGTAGGTATTTAGTAAAACCATAAGCCCCTCAGAAATTCGATAATGGTTTGAAATTCTATGTAATTGCAGCGGAATAGAACGAATCAAAGATGGTATAGGAGATAAGGTCGGTGGTCTTTTGCAGGCTTCTACTCATTTTGTCTTTGGTCTTATTATTGGGCTCTACTACAGGTACCTTTCCATGTAACATTATATGGACTTGTAATAATTTCGATCAATGCTGATGACCTGAAAATTCAGTTGGAACTAATATTCTACCTAATTCAGTTTTCGAGAGAACAAATTGAATTAAATAAGAATTTTAATCTACCTACCAAACTTGCAGGTATTGATTCAATTAGTCTTAAATGATGACTGCCGGAATTTCAGTTATGAAGTTTTTCACTTTTCAATACTACTCAAAATGTAAAACTTTTCTTAATTTCCAGTTGGCAAATGACTTTGTTGTTGCTGTTCATCGCACCATTAATAATATTTCTGATATTTGGGTCAGTTAAGGTAACTTCAGCTATATTTCACTAATTTTGGAAGAATCTGATCTAATAAAACCTCTAAAATTGGTTGAAGTTTCTTAATACTGTTGATATTAATAAAATCGTATGCATATATTCTTATTCATAAAGATTCCAAAATCTGTCATTGCATTCAATCCTAATAAGTATGATGTATCTCTAGACACTAGCAACTACGACACGTCGAGAGATGCGTACATACGATGAAGCAGGCGCTGTTGCTAATAAAGTTATCAGCAACATTAGAACAGTTACCTCTTTCAATGCACAGTATGCCGAGGTTATCAGGTATTCTTTGGTTCTCACGCTGACAACTGAATCTTCACGTGTGGATGTGTAAGCCCGATGAAATAAAAGTCACTCTTTCTGCATTCAGTTTGTAATGGCTTTAAAATTTTCCACGGTATTGCTATAAAGTGTTGAAAACTTTCGAAATGATTGAAAAATATTTAATCATATTTTAATAAGGCAAGTGGACTTATTGATTGGTTCGAAATGGCTGATATAACTTCTATGAATAGATAGACAGGTAATCACCTATTCTCTATCTTTCAATAATTTAATTCTCGAAAATTGAATAATTTTAGATACAAAGATCGTTTGAAATATGCGCGAAAAATTGGTATGAAAGGAGTGTTTATTATTGGTATTACCATGGGTTTTTATGTATTTGTAACCTTTAGTTCTATGGCAGTCGTTTTCTGGTAAGTACCGTCGAATTACTTATGAAATATGAACGGATCAGAAATTATTAACAAGGAAAAACTCATCGTCATACTTCTTGATCGTCATACTTCTTGAGCACTTTTAAAAATTTAACTTTTTAGGACTTTCAAACTTTCGGGAATTTCCATTAGGTTTCACAAACGATGTAATGAAAATTGTTCCCAGTATGCAGAACCAAAAGTAGAGAAAGTGTACAGGCCAACATTTTCGTAATTCGAATGAATCATTGTTGTTTCTTTTTGGTAATGTATTTCGAATTATTTACTTAATAAATGTTCACAAACATTTTTGAAGAAGTTTGTAGGTACGGCACGAATTTAGTGATGGAAGGTAAAATTACACCGGGCACTGTGTTTACAGTATTTTGGGCTATAACGATTGGCACAATTCGTTTAGGCCAGGCGATACCGCAAGTTGGGGTTTTTACTGCTGCAAAATTAGCCGCTGGTGAAATATTTCAAATCATTGACATGGTAAATAAACAAATATTTGAGATTTTGGATGCGAAAAAATGGATCCATGAAATGTTTAGGGCAAATTCAAAGAAGTCAGTAGGTATAACTCAGATGGATTATGATCAGAATTCAAAAAATGTGCGCTGTATTTTCATGCTTATATGTTTAGTTATCTTTTGTTCATTTGTTTAACTTAGAAATTTTGAAAATACAAAATTTATACATTTATACAAAGTGATTTATAAATTTATATTTATGTGATTTGATTTATACTAAATATTATGCACGAAATTATAAAAATATTCAAAGCAATCTTCTTTAGGAACCAAAAATCAATTGTATGTCATCACATGGATTAATTCCCTCACACGTGGAAGGTCGGATCGAACTCCGCGATATTCATTTCTGCTATCCAAGTCGACCGCACGTTAAGATTCTGAATGGCACATCATTTACAGTTTTGAATTTGTTCAATTTATTTTTCAGATGTGCAACTATACTGCTCCTCTATTTTTCTTTAAAATTTTTAATTTCACTTTGTTATACTTTGGTAAGATTCGTGCAGCTAAATTCATTAATTTTAATTAATTTAATTCAGTTTTAAACTTCAATTATTAAACTGATTAAAACTGATACGACAAGAAAATTTTTGATTTGTTTAAATTGTAATTGCTGCAACCGGATTGATTCTTTTTTCTCCGTATTTTTTTTTGCTCAATTATATAGTTTGCATAGCCAGTACAATTATATGATTATGGGGATAGGAAAATTTTGGATGAATTCAAGTTTTTCATTTGAGGTGAACCCAGGAAGTACGGTTGCTTTGGTTGGACAGAGTGGTGCCGGGAAATCAACCATAATCGGATTGCTGTTGAGATTTTATAAACAGCAGGCAGGAACAGTCAGTTTTATTTCCGTAAAATATTCATTAGCACTAGAAGAAGGTGTAGAGCACGGAATAGACAATTTACTTTTTTGTTCCGTTTTTAGATGCTTTTAGTCCGGTCAATGGATTCTCCTACGATCTGCATGCTTCCGGTGGCTGAAAATGTTTCTAACAGTGAAGAATAACGTATTAATGATTAGTTAATGGATTTTAGATTACACTTGATGGCATTCCAATTAGTGATTTGAATATAGAATGGTTACGCAACAAAATTGGGCTTGTTTCTCAAGAACCGGTAATATTTGCTACAACAGTGGAAGAGAATTTGAAATTAAACAATGAAGCGCTCACCGAAAATGATATGATCGAAGCTTGCAGGATTGCAAATGCTCATGATTTCATCATGAAACTACCAAAAGTTAGCTTCAGTTGATTTTAAATTAAACTTTCAATTTATCCCGAATTCAATCTTTTGATGAGCACAGACGTGTACTTTGAAATTAAAAAAGAGATGTTGAATTTACTTTAAAGCAAGAAAGCTAAAAATATTACTTTTAAAACTTTTTAGCTTGATAGTTTCCTTGGAAGTGCAAGAAACGAGCGGGCTATTTGCTTAAAATAACACCAGAATTATGCAATTTGAATCGCAAAGTGAATTTAAACTGTTTTAATGTTCTGCTGTATCATTTTTAATAATTTCATGATAAAAATAATAGTGAAGGCTTTCCTGAACATTCAGGGCTACAAGACATTGATCGGTGTTGGCGGTGTACAATTATCTGGGGGTCAAAAACAGCGAATTGCTATTGCTCGAATTTTAATCCGTGATCCGAAAATATTGTTATTCGATGAAGCGACTAGCGCACTGGATTCTGAGAGTGAAGTTGCTGTGCAGCTTGCACTTGACCGGGTAATTCATCTGGCCATGTTCTCAATTACGAACACTTAGAAATCACCGATTTCAATTTAATTCATCTTTTTTACTTTGATACAGAATCTCAAAATAGTGTTCGTAAAAAACTCGACAATACATTTTGGTAATTGACAGAATCGAAAAGGCATGTACAGGACGAAATGAGTTGATATTACTCATCGCTAAAATTCAGACAGTTATTTTGAAGAAAATGTATTGTAAATTCTAATTTTATTGATTTTTATAGTTCGCGTATTATTAATATTCATTTCATTATTTCCATTGATTTCATTGACAGATGAAACGATACTTAAAATCGAACCTTGACCCTGCATAATTTCTTCAACACTACAATCTTTTCTATGATGATATACAAAATCGAACCTCCACCAACGGTAGTCGGGGACGACAGAATAGTCACGCGGGAATGATATCCATGAAGAAGATAAATGTCCGCATTATAAATATGGAATAACTAGTGTATCATCCCAAAGATAGTATAAAATATTTGTCATATCCACTATAATTTATTGTGATATTTGAGTAACATCGTGATGATCTGATAATACTTAGAAATACATAAGTAAATCGAAATTATGATTGACTGTTAAGGTCCGAGCTGGACGTACCACAATGACAGTAACACATCGCCTGTCAACGATACGTAATGCTGATCAAATCATCGTTTTCAAAAATGGCGAAATCAGAGAAAGTGGTTTGCACGATGAACTGATGGCGCTGGATGGAATTTATCGCCAATGTGTACAAGGACAGGAAACAGAAGAAGACAACATTGAGTTTACCGATAGCGGTACGTGAGTTGAACACCGATGATCACTCTTCAAAATCAGATCCATCACTTCTTTTTGAAATTGGCCGCTTTTAAATGAAATCAGTAAACTCGTACTTCATTATAAAACATGTTATAACAAAAAACGCTGTATCTAGTATATACAAGTTTTTTGGACGACTAAGAAATCTATGTGATGTAAATACTAAGATGCTTTTACTAGAATTACACGGATGTTCAGTTAGTAAAGTCTATTCCTGTTAGATGATATAGTTACATGTGACCACAATTAAGGATCAGTCTCCTGCTATCGAGAATCGTGTCCATGCTAACTCTTTCAATCCGTTCAATAGTTTGAAATAATTCATTGTTTATGTCTTTGAAACCCAGTAATCCCTTATTAACTTATATCCAGATGAATCTCTTACGTCATATCAGGACGAAGACAATGCACAATATCAGGACGAAGACAATGCACAACAGCCAAAGGACGAGGAAGGTGGCAGCAAAAGAGCCAGCAAAAGGCCTCGTCGAAACGAATATCTTCGGAAATCAATTGTTTCTGTAAAATCGCACCCCAGTGAAATGCATTATGAAAATGAAAAGTAGCGAATGGTTTCTTAAATTTTGAAAAGATTTGTAGAAGTATTTAATGAAGCTTTGGTGAGAAAAAAAAAATCAGCAAAAGTTAGTTGCAGTCATTGCATCTTTGCAATGATACAATACTGTTATTCAGCATTTTTTCAAATCATTTCGGAAAAAGAATATTTTTTTGCAGGGCCTTTTACGAGCAAGCTGATGACAAAGTTGCAAATGTGTCGATTTTCGATATTTTGAAGTTTGCCGGGAATGTGAGATTCACTTTTTATTCCACTCGATATTGGATTACTTTAAAATAGTTCAAATGATTAGATGAAATAAGTGATATTAAATTTGAGGAATTGCCGATTGTTGTTATGGCCTTAATATTTACAATAGTGAGAGGTTTATCATGGCCGATTTTCTCTATCATTTATGGTCGGACGTTCCTGGTGAGTTCTGTTGGGAAATTATTTTTCTGTTAAATTCGTTTCTCAGCGATACAGATTTATTCAAGGAGTAATATTGTTCTTGCACAATATTACTAATTAACAACAAGAAAAAGGGTATATAATATGTATGTGTATAACACGATGAATTGATAAGCAATGATAAATGAGTTATACAAAAAGCGAGTAATGTGATCAACTAACAAACTCCTTGTCGTTGCCTTGGACAATAATTTGACTGTCGGTTAGCTGATAGGTCGTTGAGTTGGGAATACGTTACGGTCAATGTATTTAGTGAATAGAAGAATATCGTAGTTTGTTGTCCAATTGTGGCGGATAAGCGAAGATATCGTTGGTTGTGGGTTAGTCGCGGGATAAGCGATGAGGATGTATCGTCTGCTCGATTGTAAAAGTGAACTCAACTGTCTGTCTCGAGATTTTTTTCATATATATATATATATATATATATATATATATATATA